CTTCGGCCTCCGGGGAGGCAGCGGGCGCTTTTGCTGTTCGACGTCACGGGAGGAACGTGGCCCTGCTGCTGATGTGGGCCCTGAGCACAACGGCTTCTGCTTTTCACTGAAGCAAAAGCACCTTTGCAGACAGAGCAGCCCCTCTCCTAGCAGGCAGTGCTGCTGGAGGCACAGGGAGTTACCTGTGATTTACATGTAAAGAGAAGGGGAAAAAAGGTAAGCAAGCGCAGACGGATCTAAGGTGTGGGTTGATCCAGCGCTCCAGAAATACTCCATTGCGAGCAGATCCTCACCGGCTGGGTGATGCTGAGGGCCGCCAGCTTTCAGCCTCGGCACATTCCCGACCTCACCAGCAGCCCTGACGGGTGGCTCCACGCTGAGAGCGCCCCGGCGCTGGGGACCAGCCCCCCCTCCCCGGGGCACCCCGCGAGGCAGAGACCCCTGCCCCGCACCCCGCCCCCCCCTGCCAAGCCGGCGCCATCCCAAGTCCAGAAAAGAACTAAAATACGTGCAGCTGGAAAAAGTGCGGAAAGCGAGATACAGCTTGGCTATGCCCTGTATCTGCTCCAGGGCTGCGCACTAGATAATGCGATAAACCAGCTGTGCTTTGGTAAAACACTCGGAAAACAGAGCAGACATACTGCTTCTATAACAGCGCTGACTTTCACTTAAAAAATTAATTCTCTCTCTCGAGGAACTATTTGAAAAAACAACAGAAACTTACCGACTCTACCAGATAATAAAACAGAACAGGAAGGTTAAGCAAGTCAAAACAGAGAACCGATACTTTACACTATGAAGCAAGCGACTTGCATGCCAGGACCACAGAGCCCTTCCCAACAAGCCCGTAGGCATGTAAGTGGTGTTCCTGCCATCTCACAGACAGGAGAAATAAAGCACGGAAAGGTCAGGTTTCTGGCTCCAGGCCACATGGCTCAGCCCTGGCGTGGCCGGGAACAGATCTCAGAAGTACAGCCACCCTGCCCCTTGCTCTGACAAGAGGACATGCTCTCCCATTTTTTGTCTTCTTGTAAGCATGCTAGCTCTCTGCATTTAAAATTGCTTTCCTGCTTTCATAGATGTGTATACTGCTATACCCCGATCGCTGAGCAGAAAGTATTGCAATGTGTTGCAGAGCCTATTGACTTTATTGACTCCGTGGCTTTCTTTTGCACAATGAGTTGTGGGATTGGGACCTAGTGATGTCAATTATCAGCAAGAAGCCTTTATATATTTGTCTGCAACAATACGCTCTTTCTAAACATAATAAATTGACAGAACTTCCAGTGGTTTTAATATTTTTTAAATAACCAGATTTGTGTCATAGGTAATTGTGCTTCCTAAAATGACATTTTTGATCTCCTCTAATACATGTAAAACCTCAGGAAAAACCCCTCATTTTTATACATACTCATGCACATACATATAAAAAATAAAAGAAATAAAGAACTTCTCCGCAGGTCCCACTTACAACAGAATCACAAACTACAGAAATGCTGGTATGTCCTCCCTTATAGATGAGCATCCAGGTGCCACTGTAACTTATGCTATATACATGTTTTAAATTTGTGATATGAGACATACTTTTCATAATGCAGTCATTTTATAGATTTTTATTAGACAGACTTATGGTAGAAAGGAATATTCAGAAATTGCAACTTAAATGAGAAAATGTGAATGGTGTTACATATATAAAATACTACTGCAATAGTTCTTTTATTAATTTTTAATGTGCAGCACCCACTGTGACCTCCTTTATTCTTTTGCCATCAACACGGCAGGCTAGAGAAATTGAAATGGGCTGTAGCTGTTCTCTTCTTGTTCCTCTCTTCCTCCCATTTTGCATAATGTTAAAATTATTACATCTTATTGGACTGTCAGTGTGAAATAATCATTATGCAATAACCACAACAATTTTTTCTGATTGTTATCTCTTCCTTGCTTTTCAGCATTCTCTAAAAAATTCCAAATTCCATGCAGTTATCTAAGGCAATAAGGCACTTTTCCACTGAATACACTCGTCTGAAAGTTTGTTTAAAAGGTATCTTTTGCTACATTTCTTATAGTTCTGTAAGGATAACACCAGTCACATAAAATAAAGCATTTTTTGCCTGTCTGGTCTCCTCTGATTACGTTTTTGGGGTAAGGTAGGAGGTTGGTCTGATAAAATCGTGTTTGACTCAATCAGGAGGATGCGATTACTTCTGTTACATATATTTACTGCTACCTCTATCACCAAGGAGACTAATCTCCATACCAGTAAAGTCAAGAAGCTCACAGTATTGTCTTTGCATGACCAAGTTCATGTTGTCACAGCAACAGAGTGCACAGGGTCAATAGATTAACACATTAGTGTGCACAGGCACTGAATTGGAGTGTAAAAGTTTTGCTGCTGGTTTTAAAATTAAACTGTGAAGCAGGACTTGGAAATATGGCCTACATAAAATATTCTTGTGTATCTCAAGGAATAGGCTACAAAAATACACACATACTTGCCTAATACAATCTGTCACTTTTACCACAGCAGGAAGAGGAGGAAATAACCTCCTTGGGAGAGGTGCACTCCATGGGAAGGAGGGAGGAAGGTTGGAGTTTGGCCTATGAAAGATACACTGCATTTGGATTGTTGATATTTCCCCCTGTGGTGCCCTTTCATTAGCCTCTGTCTAACATGGGGCCTGACAATTGTGACAGAATGAAAAATTTGAGGAAAAGCGAGGGTCACGAGAGAAGAGATTTCCTTCCCTCTCCAGTGACCCTATCACAGTATTCTGATGCAGTGCTTTACCATTAAGGAGAGGGCAACGCTAGAGCCTTCACACTTAATCTTTTCCATCTGTCATGACTATTAGAATCATTGACCAGCAGTGAGCTTTAAGGACTCGGTGCAACTGCAGACATGATATTCTAGCCCACTACAAGGACCTCCTGATGTTTTGAAAACCTCCAAGGAAGTCCGTGCATCAAAAAGGGCAACACCTACCTGACATGCCACCATATGTGGTCCTCAGTCCTCCACCAACTGCTGGCCAAGGTGTGCTGTCTGCTTTCAGTCCCATCAGTCCTGACACAGTGTTGGTGGCTGTAACACCATCTGCGCCACCTGCAAAAGAAAAGGTCAGTCACTTTATGTTAAATCATGTGTATAAGAACAAGAGAGGAAAAAATACAACAGAAAAACTGTGAAACTGTGATAAAACTAGAAATTCAAATAAACAGCTGAAGACAGAAAGCAACAAATCGCAAGAGGATGTGCAGAAGGATCCTTAAGACAAATCCTGGCTGATTAACACTAGCTTCAAGGCAGGCTGTATCAACTGGAAGAGCTGTAAGGGTTCTAAGACAGCACAGGGGAAATGCTGAGGCTTGCGGGTAGATCTCTGCCCTTCAGCTGTGTGAGAGAGAACCTGCTACAGTGGTGGTTCAACACCTGGACGTGCCCCAGCACAGGGGTCAACGCCTCCAAGCTGATGACACCAACTCTACATTGATGGAGCCAGCCCATATTCTCATTTCTCATTGTGAAGAGCAAGACAAAATGAACACCGTGACGGAGAAAAGATGGCCACGGTTCTAAGTGATGGATTAATACACCTACTTGCAAACTAATTTCCTGACATGTTGTACTTCAAGCTCTGAGGAAAAAAATAAAAAAATATATATACCTTCAAATGGTCTATTTCCTTTTCCTCAGGTCACACACACCATTTTCGCTACTAAAGGTAGGAATAGGGCAATTTACAGTGGTATGGTAAACATATAACTATGATAGTAACAGGAGCGCGCAGACAAGCATGTACAAAAACATATATGATTTATTGTTAACAATCTAATATAGTTCTCTTCATATATTGCTATATTCTAGAAGCATGGACAAAATTACGAAGCCTTTGATCACTGTGTTTATTCTAAATACATCAGATAAACTATTGTCATATTAGTTTCTATTGTTATTTGTTATTATTCCAGCAAATCCTCTATCTTCCCCCATCCAGCAAATTAGTAAATCTGCACAGCTTGTGCACTGGAGTTGGTTACCTTCCTGCGCAGCCATCGCAATATTCACAATATCAGTGACATTTGGGGTCAACTTGGCAAAGAAAGGAATCTGAACAGCTTGTCTAACCCAGCGACAGATGTTCCGTACCAGCTCTGGATCCTGTTCAAATAGGTCAGATAAATATAGAACGTAATTAAAAGTAGTATGAATAAAAGGTATACCAGGGAAATTGAAAACTTTGCTATAAGTGGCTATACTGTGATTTTGTGAAATTACACATCAGGACTGAATCTCATCTCATTAGTTAACTTATTTCAGACGCATTGAGTAACTGCAAATCCATTACAGAAAAGTTAGTTAATGAAAAAAGGAAAATTCGTGCTTTTTTTTCCAAAAGACAAAAATATCACAAAACGTTCCCTTCCCAGAGAGGGGAAAATATCATTTTGGATGACAAAGACTTTCTTTACCCATTTATTTAAAAAATTACTTTCCCGGTTTAATGACTCACTCCATGTAAGGTATACTGAAAATAACCACTATCCTATAAAATAATGCGATCCTGAAGCATTGGCTGATCACGCCTTGATCAGACAACAAGGATGAGTCGAGGTTGCAGGGCTATCAGAATTCAATTCAGCATTTCTGAACTCTTCTCTGACTTCAGAGAATAACTTGGCATGGCCATAATGTATAGGAAAGATCAAAATCTTCTGTTATAGGCAGAAACTGAAATCTGGCTTTTCATGATTTCCAGGCATTTACTTCCCTTACAGAATATGTCTCACCTAGAGATATCAACTATGCTTTCCATTGAAAACAGCTCAGAGCTCAGTGGAACTAACTTTCTGTGTCTGGCACAAATAATGTTTATTGTTCAATACAACTCCTACGGTATGGGCTGCTGTTTTTTTCTGTTGGCTATTGATAATGTTCTTCAACCAATACATTAAAATCTGAAATCCTGATACACGTAGAACATGGTGCGTGATCTGGTTAAAAACTGTATGGTGCTATTACAAGTATAACCTGTGGGTAGGCTAATTGGTACCGCAGCAATTATTTACATTTAGTAAATCTTTACCACTCTTACAGATAATTAATTCTGTCATATATGAATAATTTTCTCCCATTTGGATATTGTAAAAACTCAGACAACTGCGTTGCTATGAGTAAGTGAAAATGGGATAAGCCTAAATGAAGTTCAGTTTAAAGCAATCCAGTGGACACCAAGGTTGTCAGTCTAGTGAACACACAGGAAATATTCCCTTGCTGTTTTTCCTTTTTACACCCATGGTTAAATACAAACAAAAAAACCCCACAGGCTGTGTTCCTAGAAAGCATACAGCACTTGATGTGAATAGTAGGACCCTGAGACTTAGCTACGCCATTCCAATAAAAATGGTGATCTCCCCGCCTATGCAGCTTCCATGAAATATGTATGAACACTGCACTGGCAGTATGAAAGTAGTTGCATCTTTGACTTTCATTTCTGTTTTGAATTTCCTTGAGGCCCAACGCAGAAATGAGAGACCCACTAGAAGACATGAATCGTATATCCTTTATGTTAATTCTTATCCTTAGAAATCCTTGTAATAATGTTCAGGATGTTGGCATCACATAACTCATTACGCTGGCTTCATCGTGCTTATAGTGCTGCCATAAAAACTCCAACACAACTAACACTTTAAAAAAATACAACTATCTTAGTCCACATTGAATAACTTATTGGGAGATCTCTTTCAGTCATATAAACCCAATTTCCATCCTACCCAAGACAATCTAACTAATTTGTCTTTCTTAATAGGTATTAATTTGACCTTTTTTTTCCCCAAAAGTAAGAAAGACCTTAATTTTCCATCAGTTCTGCTTCTCCCACACCAGAATTAATGGAACGGATGTAATGGAAGGGTCTTCAATTTCTGAAGCTAGTAGAGAGTTTAAAGATCTGATTGCACAGCACATGTTTAGACAAAGCCCTTTTGAAAGGCTCACTTCTGTCAGTCTTGGAAACCTGCCCATTTTCAGTACCCATAAAACCAAAGTTAACTGAAGAGGAAAATAATTGGAAAACTCAGCTGAAGGAGGTGAAATCTTTGGGTTTACTTCATTTAATATTCCAAGGAAAAGACAGGAATTTTTAGTGAGGAAACACGGAAAAAAAAAAAAAAAATGTTTACACAGTGCTTTGCTGCATAGTGAGACAGTCATTTTATGAAATTTTATGAAAAAAATAGAATTTCCATTAAATTTGACAATTTTAGATTGAAACAAGTATTTCTAAAGCTGATTTTTCTCCCCGTAATCTTTTATCTGGTTCATTTGCTCGTTAAATAAATATCATATAAGGATAATGCTGGATGCCTTAAAAAAAATTCCTGTTTACCCTTGTGTCACCCCCAAAACACATACACACATCTGATGGATCTCACTGCTTCTCTCTTCAGGGCGAGCGCTACAGTGGAGCTGTACTGGAGCACTCAGCTGAGGCCACCACCAGCCAGGGCCATCGCAAGTGTCCAGTGGTCACAGCCACTCCAGCCTGAGCTTCCCTGCTTCCAGAGGGGTTTCTATGCCATGAAGCCACTGCCTGAGAATACGCACGAGGACTTTAGTAGGCATGGTGGTGTTTAGTAGGCATGGTGGTGTTGGGTGGATGGTTGGACTCAATGATCTTAGAGGTCTTTTCCAACCTATGATTCTATGATTCTATGCTCTACAGACAACTAACGTATTCTCAAAGAGGAATGATATCCCCACCTGTTTTTATAGAATTATAGAATCATAGAATCTAAGGTCATCGAGTCCAACCATCCACCCAACACCACCATGCCTACTAAACCATATCCTGAAGTGCCACATCTGCTTGTTTTTCAAATGTGTTTCATATGAAATGAACGAACTACGTCTATATCATCCAGGGGAAGTTCACTGGATGGCATACAACCTCTCCATAGAAGTTTGGCTTTGCACTGAGAACAATTTGTGGAGCTCACACAAGAACACAACTTTTGAGAAAGATTTAAGTGATTAGAGAATTCACTTCTAAGTGCAATCACTGACTAAAGAAATTATCCCAATTTGAAATGCAGTTCAAAACTTAAGATTTCTGAGAATATTAATTTATCATATTAATTAAAGTTTTAAACTCGGGTGCAAATTTAACAAGGTGAGCAGCCTGGTACCAAAAACTAGTTTTAAAGAGGCTATGTACAGGCTTCTTTTTGCCTAATTCATTTTGCTAATTCAGGGCCTCCCATCTACCTGAAAGATTGACCCCAATTTACAAATTGCATTTAGTGATCCTTAGCAGAGATTAGATTTATAAAACATTCAAAGGATAAGCATATAACTTCTAGGAGAATGAATCTTGAGGCCCATAAATCACGTTACAAAAAATACCTGTCACGGCTAACACAACATAAATATCTTTTTTTGCCCCAGTCCAACTTTATGAAAGTGTCTGCAGCTTTTATCATTGATAAAGTGGTTGATGAAGCCTACATAGTTAAGAAATATTTTATAAATGACTTTATATGTAAAATACTATTAGCTGTAAAAACAGCTGGGCATTTACATTCAGAAAATCAACAATATGAACTAAAATATTACTTTGCTTAATGTAGTACAGAATTTAAATGCTTTTGGTTCAAAGTCTACCACACTGCTATAAATTATCTTCTTCTGTTACACATAACTAGGTTTGCTGGTTCTGTCATTAATGATGATACAGTGCAATTGTTACAGAATGTGCAGCGTAATTTTGCTCTGTGTGTCACTCCAGAAGAATGAACACATGCTTCAACGGACTGTAACATCCGTTGGTAGCACACTTCATTTATCTGCGGGTTTTGTTGTTGTTTTTTTTTTTTTAAACAAACACCATTTAAATAGAAGCTTGATGAAATTATCATCAGCTAAAACATAATATTGATTCATGCACTGTACCTACAGGAATCTGTTGGTAATTTAATACCATATAAAGTCTCTTTTGGTATGAGATGTACATCAGTGTGTCTTCTGCTTTCCTGTTCTTAATCAAATATTGCTTGTTTATTCCAAAGGCACAGGAGATTTGAATGTTACAGGGGTTTTTTACTTCCCTAAGCAGCAGCACAGAATCATTTTTCCTGAATATTCATTATAGCCTTGGGGTAGATGGAGCTTTTAATCCTAACTACTCATTGCCAATGGGTAGATATACTAGACGAAAAAAAAACTATTCACCTTTTTTTCTAAATGATCACATGATAAGCTTAACTACAACCATAACTATAAGTCCTCAGAAATTAAAGCAGCAAGTTGGCTACTGATTGCATTTGGCATTCGTAATGAGATGAATCCCACGTCCTATCACCCCCAAGGCAGATACATCCTGCATGTTTAAAAAGCAGTGTGAAAACGCTGCGTATAGAGTAGGTCACCTCTCCTTGTGTTTCACAGAAAGAAACAAAATCATGAAGAGATTATCACAGAAATGTCTGGCTGTAGTTTTTTGGAATTTTTTGAAATTTTTACTGTGTCCTGTTTTCAGTGTTCTTGCAGGGTCCTTGTTTTTACACTATCCTGTTACTGCACAATCTCTATACTGTATCCAGAACACCTCTCCGAGGTAGGAAGTACTATTCTACCTGTTCAATAAATGGAGAGAGGAGAGTCAGATAGACTGAGGTGCACCTCTTCAAACTCACCTTGTTTTGGTGCCCAGTTTTTACTAAGTCATTTTCATAAGGATCTAAAAGATTTGTCTGCCAGAAAACTGCACTTGGTTCTTCAGAATACCATAAATCATGAGACACTTTCCACATTAACAAAGAAATATTCTTAATACTGGAATTTAATCAGTTTTTCAGAGTATTTCAATAATGCAAAAGATAGAAATGTAACTACTTTAGGGTAACAAACATGCTTTTCTTAACTACGCAAACAGTCCTTGGGAAGCACATATGTGTGAGTGTATGTACGTATGTAAGTGTGCATATAAAAAGAATACAAATGTCAGTCTGAAAGATGTCATAACAATAAACCTGTTACAGTTTGCCCCAAGAACTTCAGAAGGAAGGCTACCACTCAGCAGAGCACATTAGCTGATCTTGTCTAATTAGTGCTACAGAAAATTGACCACACCATGCAATCTCCAGTCCATCCCTAACTACTGT